TTGACATTGTTTATTTTGTTTAATGATGTTAATGACGTGTTGAGGGGGATCCGATAGATGACCCCCTTTGTTGTTGTGCGAGTCATTTTTTGTTTGCGTCTAGGTGGGGAATTTGTATATGGCCGTTTAGATAGCCGTGTTGTACATGGTGTACCATCTATACATGCGATTTTCATCGCCTTTGTTATGCACATCGCTGTGGCGCAGAGAACTAATATGATACCTGATGGTAGCATCTTGACGTCCCTGACGTCACTGGTTACCCCTGTGTATTGGGATATGTCCCCGCGAACACGTCCCGCATGTAGTGGTTTTTTATCCCTAGGGGTCAGTATAACTACGGCGGGTTTGTTTGTGGTTGGGCCAGCCATGTTGTGTTTGTAGTTAGTTGCCAGAGGGAAAAGGGTGAGAGGAATTCCTGTGGGGAGATCCTAATTAGTCTAGAATAAAAGGTCTGGTGTGTTACCTGGAGACGGAGCGACAGAGACCTTGATTGAGAAAAGAACGCGGTCAAGCGTGAAAGTGAGTGGTCTGGATAGCAGAGGTTGTGTAGTCAGGTGTGAAAGTGTGATATCTGGCCACGGAAAGACAATGGACAGGAACCAGATACAGTTTTTCTTTTGTTTTTGGGGTTGGGATGGCACTTTATAAGGCCGTCTTAAAAATGGTCCGAAATGGTCCGAAATGAATAGCCCGATAAGAAAATAGATAAAATAAAGGTTATATGTATCAGAGATATATAAAATATGAAATATTTTCTACAGAATTATAACTCTACCTAATACTGTTTGGACCTTCCTATTGTATTTGATATATAGCTGAATCTAGTTATAACTATAGTATCACTATAAAACTCCTTAAACAAGGTATCTAAATAATAAATTATACAGACCAGGATACTATTTATTATCAGTTCCCGACGCTAAAATACGAGATAGCGACTAAATGATTAATAAGAAATTTTGAAAAGTACTTATCCTTCTGATGGATTTCTCGGGAACTCTGTTGTCTAATTAATCCTCGGTCTGCCGATAGAATTAACACATCAAAAAAAGAAAGAAAAAAAAAGTCCACAGGAATTACACAATATATTCCAGAAGAATATATGGAATATATATATATAGAAAAGACTCCATGTGCAAGTCCATACTGTTTACATGATTTACTTAAAATGTGCAAACTTGCAAGTTTCTCACCTAACTTGTCTCTCCCGTGCTCGCTGGGTCGTGTCGGTAGCAGATGATGGAAACGGGATACACATACTAAAACACCGAAACGGATTCAGAATGCACCGTTTCCGGAAAATAAGCAATTAATTTTGTTCGACAAAAGCAATGTAAATTACAGTTTATAAACAAAAGAAATACTTTTATTTATTATTATTATTATTTCATTTATTTGTTTTTGCATTGCGGATTTAATAAGGTTAAAACCACAATCATTATCGAGCAAACAAATGATTTGTAACTATAAATTAGCATTTTATAAAGATATGATCTCATGATTTTGAATACTGAAATACTACTTACAATGAAATCTAATAAAGTGAAAATAGATCCGTTACCAAATTTAGTCAAAATTTAGAATTTACCAAATCAGTGCTTACATAATAAAGTCTCTAAAATAATTTCAAGTCACTTACGTGACCACGTACAGTATGGAACCTCGTGTCTTCGTCGTGATAAGACACCGTTGCCCCTTCGGCAATATCAGGCGAAACGTGACGGACATATGTATAAACTTCTAGATGATCAGAACAATAATATATCGTTAACAGTAGAAAGTGAAATAAACTTTGTCAAAATCATTTTGTTGATAATATATGAGCCTTTTGCATACATATACTTCATCAAAAGTGTTTTAAACTAACGCATTATGAGTAACTAGTGGAATACTTTATATACAGAAGAATTTCATACTTAATGTCTGGAAAATATTACTTAACAGAGATTGCATGACCAGTATTTTAATGAGAAAGACTAATCGAAATGAGATGATGATTTCTGACATTGCAATAGCCAAGTAGCATACAAACAATTTTGTTCCGTAAATTATTGGAGGGGAATGAAATAAAAGATGAAAGTTGTGATAAATGTGACAATCTTATAATGTTATGATAATTTTTAAATGTTCTCGTATCAAACTAGTTTGGGAAAATATTTAAATAAAGTCTCATTTAAAAAAAAAAGTGTCTTGATTTAGCCATTCTAGGTTGTATATGATAATACAGTTTAAGAAATCTGAGTTTTCTAATTGTTTGGTACTTTGCAAGCCAATAGATTTTGTTCTATTCTGTTTATGACAAAAGTTTCCACCAATAAATTTTTGATGGGATAAATTTTCAAACATTTAAAAGAGAAAATCAACCAAACACCGTTGCTGAAAAATGTCACGGATCCTTCATTGAACTAAATTCAGTGAGTGAACTTCCAACATCATTATTTTCAATTTCCCCACAAATACCCGAAACCTAACCTAAATATGAACCATCTGTCCATTCGCCGTCTCTTTCTTGCCTTTAGAACACATTTGACTTTATTTCAAATTTCAAAACTTAATATCAAATTTCCTAGTTTTCGAAATGTACGTAAATGTAACCTGTCACGTTCTTGATAGATAATAATGTTAGGTGTACTTTTCTTAACCCCTGTGTTTCTTTCACAAATATCTAATGCAACACTCAATATCTCGCGCATCACAAAGCCTTCAGATTCATAGTTCAACATACTACATACAAAAATGCCGAAAACTCTGAGATCAGTTTCAACATTGAAATCGAAAACTATCAGCCAGCATACAACCATTCAAAAATCATTTGTCTAACTCCTTCAATTGTAACAAAGAAGGGTTTAGGTATATTGTTACAAAATGTGGTTTCGATATTAGTGTAACTCAGATACATGACTCAATAATCTTTGACTGATTGGTTGAAATAAATTAGCATAAACAATAGTTCGTTTAATGTTCAATAGTATATCAATATAACACATATAGGTAGTTTAAAGGGGTGTGGATAATTACTTGCATATATACACTTAGGTTGGTATAATCTGGGCCCCGAGAATCTTATCAGTGGGTGTACAGCTTAGGCCAGTTAATTAATTAGAGACTGTCCCCACTTCCTTGATAACCAAACTTATGCAATTTCCCGTTTGGACAGTGACCACCTAGTAGTAGAGTAATTTTTAGGATCTATTTCAAGTAACAAATTAGCAGGGGGTGGGGATCTCAACCTTGCACCTCGAGTACAGGTGGCTATACTTCAACAATTGTATCAGGGGATTGCCGGACAAGCTTGGTCCAGAGTAAGATAAAAAAAAAAAGGGGGGGGGGGGGGGGGGGGAGAGATCTTTAGGTTAGAACACACGGTCTTGGGGGAGCCCACCAGATGGACAGTTCTGATACGAGACACAACGCGAAGTACTAGTATGAGTATATGAACTCTATTATTCAACATGTAATCAACATGGCTATTACCAACAAGTACCTGTGTTTACGCCTACTGTGTTACACAATTTACTATTTCTGAAATCCATTTTATTTTCAACATTAACAATTAAATTTCATTAATCAGTATATGATAACAACGAATCTAACGTGTTTTGCAGTCTCTCTGCTGTTTCAGGTACTAATACCATATCAACTGCCTACATCAACAGAAAATAGATTAATATTTTGGAGTTTGATAGAAAAGCGTTTAACTGTTTAAAAATGCATATCATAATCATCAACATTAAGAGAAAATAAAATCAGCGACAGAATTTCACCCCAAAAAAAAAAAAAAACCTGTTCTTTCAGTCGAAGAAATCTGACATTAAAATTATTTATTATAAACACAGATACATTATGGGTTACAACCTTAAAGTTTCCTTAACATTTGAATAGATAGTAAATGCAGTTGGATTGTGAGTAGATTTATAATTGTCTAATGATATTGAATTGTGTCATTTTTGTGATATTTTATACAATGACGATACAACACATATTGTATTTCATTGTGCGAAAACTGAAAGTCTTTGAGATGATCTCATCCTCGATACTCCGCGGGTTAAGATCACTCTCGCTCTCTGCATCCCTGGAACATGTCAAAAACAAACATTGAATGAACAAACGAAGTAATTTGATTGGTTCCAAGAGAAAAAACTGACCAACCACAGGTTGATAAGTACGCTCCTTTTGAAGATTACAAAGGAGCGACACCCAACTCATCCTCGATACTCCAGGGGTTACAACCACTATCCTTCTATTCACCCCTGGAACATGTCGTGGTAAAATTGAATGTTCCAAGTGCGACGATTCGTGGACAAGACGAAAAGACTAGTTTAATATTTTGATGTACACCAAACGAAGTCTCGAGATCGCATAATGGTATATTGCAATGGCTTTGAAGTTGAGTGCATCCTCGATACTCCAGGAGTTATTTCGCTCTCTGCGCCTCTGGGGCATATCATGGCGAATTTGAAAGTAGAAGCGGAGTAAAAATGTTGACCAATCACAAGAAAAGTCTAGAGCCTAGAGATTTGTTTCGTTGTTGTATACATTGCTCTCATTTGAGAACGTGACATTACTTGCTTGGACCAGAGACGTATACAACACATGTGTTATATACGTCTCTGCTTGGACCGACCAAGATTTGCATGACCCGTATTCTTCCGCAGTGTCTGGTCTCAGTAATTTTCTTTGTACTTTTTTCAGAAGTCTCCGTGTAAATCTTTCTTTTGTTCATATTTTGCCCTAATTTTATTGAATTTGATATTTGGATTATGATTTTGTTGACATGTTGGTATTTTCTTATTATTGTAATTATAATTACCCGGTCTATAATCTCTCCTCATTAAGTACTCTACTCAAGTATCTTTTTAGTGCCTTTTGATGGCAGACCGTTATTGTTGATTCATTTGTACATGAGTAAAATCCGGATTGTTTCTCCGTACGCTGTTTTGTGTATACGTATACATTGTGTACGACATCCGGGGTTTTGTAATGGATGCGCCCTTTGATGACATGTGTAGCGAACGAAGAAGAAAATAAAGGATGGCTGTTTTCTTTAGACGAAAATTTATAAGAAGTGTAAGTTATGATGTTTATATTGTGATGCTTTGTGAAAGTAGAATACCTTGCTGACCTTTTTTCGAAAGTCCTCTGAAGATTAATTCAGTCCGTGGATTAATGTACTATTGTCAACTTAGTAATTTCATAAATGTTAGGGCTGCGAAAGTCGTATTAATTTATGAAATGTTAGTTAGAACCTCTGTCATAAAATTATAGACGGGCCGCTTTTTCGTTGTCATTTTAGAGTTACTTTGCTGTGACCTTTACATTATCTATTATGACTTATGACCTTGACCTTTCTCGGTCTTCTTTCAAGAATGGGTTCATAGGTTAAACATCTATCTATCATGGATAGAGTTACTTCCCTTCACATTTATGTTCCAATATCTTTTTTATATGGTTCATAAAATATGTTGATATCGTCTAGACATTGGTTCCGGACCGTTGTGTACTTCGGAATGACCATTTTGTCAAAAAATTACCACTTGAACTATTGACCTGTTTGACCTCACATCCGAATAATTTTGGTTGCAGTAACATGTTGGAAAGAATAAAAATTTGTGATTAAAACCATTCACCATAAAAGTTTTGAGTTCATATTATGTTGGCAAATTTGAGTAATTTTTTTAATACACATTTTCACATGTCAAACATCTTGGATGTGATGAAATAACCTGTCAATCAATCCTTTAATGCCAGTGTTTTGTTGTTGTCCATCATGTGAATAAAAATCGACCATGAATAGTATGTCACACTCTCTTGCAATATTTGGCTGTGGAAGTCCTAACATGCTTATCTTATTTTTGAAAAATGATGATTTCTGAAATGTCACTACAAATGACTCGTTTTTGGTTTTTTTAACAAACAAGTTGTAGATTGAGAGAGGATAAATGGACTTTTTTGTATAGTTTTTGTTATAAAAAAGAAGTTTACCAAGAAAAATGGCTAATTTTGAAAAAGGGTCCAAGCAATAAAACCATGAATCTAACTCTTTAGAAAAAGTGCAAATATAAACATAGATGAAAAGTGAATTTATTTTGATTTTTATTCTCATCAAAATGTCATTCCCGTTCAAATGATGATTTCATGTAATGCATGCATACTTCTGGGTCACTGTAAGCTAACTTACCTGTTAAGTGCCTCAATGATTTAGCAAACGGAAGTGCAGTTACATATCCAATACACATGTTGGTTGTTTAGATTGAGCATATTTGATGTTGGATCTGTGGATATTTTCTAGAAAATTACTTATATTAAGTTTTTGGGAAGCTGTTCCAAAACATTGTAGATCTAAGTGTAGAATTGTTGCTCCTCAGGGATGTTCTATTCATCATTATGTAGTTGCTTTGGTTTTTTTCTTGCAGTTGGATGCCACATCTTTCCATAACATTGCGAAACTGCAAGATTAGATTCTTTATCATGTAATCCATTTAACAAATATATACTGCAAGCTGTATTAATAAAAGTTGGGAAAAAATGAAGTGTTGTGGTACAAATATAGTTTTGGTTATTTACAGGTACATTTCATAATTGAAAAATTAGATTTAAATACTTGATTACAGTTTATATTTAGAGAAAGAGAACTGAATGCAAATTGAACAGCAGAATTGTGTTGTAGTTTTCTTGTGTTATTTTTGTGTGAGTTCAATATGCATCAAGAACAAGTACATGTTAACAGAACACAAACTATGAGTGATTTACCTCACACAAGGGTGTATTGGCAATTGTGATAATTGCAATTTTCATGTCATGACATCTATTATAAACATTAATGTACCTTAAATGTTTGTGCAAAAAATACATATATCATATTTGACAAAAACATGACAATATGCTGCCAGGAGAGCAAATGGACTAGGACTAGATTACATCAAGTTTTTCTTGTCAAATGAATTATTTACATCAATCTACATTTAGGGAAAGGACATAAGCAACATCCTTTTATATGGCATGGTGTCATACATTTTGAATATTCTGATAAATATCTGTAACTTCATTTGACTCATCAAAAGAATACTTGATAAACTCTCATGACATTCTGAGGAAATAAGTTCCAAACAAGTTTTCAAAATATATAGATCAATAACTGTCAAGAAAATTAAGATATTGCAAAACTTACCTATGTATAGATTTGTGTCCTGATTTTGAAAATACTTTTGAGTAAATGAGAATGTATTTGTCTTTTTAGTTTATCAAAGCTGTTCAAGCCAAGACTGTCGAACTTGACAAAGTAGGAAGGAAGGAAGAGATAGCATTGAAAGAAAACTTCAAATATAAAATGTGCGTTACAACTCCTGGAAAATTTTGAGATTGATTCAATACTATTGCTACATGTGAAGTAATGTCTTTATCTGACAATAAGCCGAGGCCTGCTATATGTAACAAAATTAAGAAAAGATAATCTCTTTGTGTTAAACTAATGTGAAAATAAATACTTACAATCTTTTTTGTATTTAAGAAATTTGAGGATATAACCTAATTTCCCAATCTTCTTTGTCAGAAATAAAGGAAACATCCAATACAAGGCTGAAGATGTAGCAAGGAAACTTGGAGTGTCCACGGAAAATATTATATCATTAAGTGTTGATGATATCAATGAACAGGTGAAGCAATGTTGGAAAAAGGAACTTTCCTATAGTAAGGGTTGTACACAGGTGGAATTTATTTTATGTATACCTTATTAATTAAAAAAGGTATTTGTATGAGTCTATGAATAGTTACAGGTGGCTGGGTTGAGGAGGTAAAAAATATCTTTACATACATGTGAAAATGACCTTGACCAACTTTCAAAGTCACGAAGGTAAAATTTGGTAAAAAAACTTTACACTGCATTATCTAAGGAAGCAAAAGGCTCAGAGCTTTCTGGGTATACAATGTAATCAAGACCAACTGTTTATTGTTTTGCATATATGTAAACTTTTGGTGTTTAGGTCAATGGTCAACATTGAGAACAGGCTTAAATTAATGGTTAGGGCTTTCATAGGCTTTGCCTTTTTGTTCAATTATTGTTGTCTCTAAGAAGTTATGTGAAGGAATGGTAGGGGTTTCTCAAAAGGGTGCCAAATCTTCTGTGATTATAATTATGTGAACTGCCAAAGTAACTGAATAATATTAAATTATATTGTTCCAGAACCAAGCTGAATCGAAAGATCCACCCCCTTGGGTTGTTGATTGTGAAAACAATTATAACAGTATTAAGTTCACACTTTCCAAGAACTATTTATATCAGGTAAGCCTCAAGTCATTGTTTTTTTATGAGAAATTAAAAGTATAGTAAATGATAATGTGGGATATTGGATTGGATAGCGACATTATCATTACTCCATTTGTGATATAATTATAATTTTCCTGTGAAAGGGTCCAAGTTCATGCTCATTTTTCTTTGCTTTGTGTAAACCATATTAAAAAATTGCACATTACATATGATGTTGCCGACATTTGTGAATAATGCCTTTTATTTTGTGGACAATACTTGAGAAGACAGGATAAGTTTTCACTGTTTCTGTAAGATAGAATTCTGTAGAAGACAGGATAAGATTATACTGTTTCTATAAGATAGAATTCTGTAGAAGACAGGATAAGTTTTTACTGTTTCTATGAGATAGAATTCTGTAAAAGACAGGATAAGATTATACTGTTTCTGTAAAATAGAATTCTGTAGAAGACAGGATAAGTTTTCACTGTTTCTGTAAGATAGAATTCTGTAGAAGACAGGATAAGATTATACTGTTTCTATAAGATAGAATTCTGTAGAAGACAGGATAAGTTTTTACTGTTTCTGTAAGATAGAATTCTGTAGAAGACAGGATAAGATTATACTGTTTCTGTAAAATAGAATTCTGTAGAAGACAGGATAAGTTTTTACTGTTTCTGTAAGATAGAATTCTGTAGAAGACAGGATAATATTATACTGTTTCTATAAGATAGAATTCTGTAGAAGAGGATAAGATTATACTGTTTCTGTAAGATAGAATTCTGTAGAAGACAGGATAAGATTATACTGTTTCTATAAGATAGAATTCTGTAGAAGACAGGATAAGATTATACTGTTTCTGTAAGATAGAATTCTGTAGAAGACAGGATAAGATTATACTGTTTCTGTAAGATAGAATTCTGTAGAAGACAGGATAAGATTATACTGTTTCTATAAGATAGAATTCTGTAGAAGACAGGATAAGATTATACTGTTTCTGTAAGATAGAATTCTGTAGAAGACAGGATAAGATTATACTGTTTCTGTAAGATAGAATTCTGTAGAAGACAGGATAAGATTATACTGCTTCTGTAAGATAGAATTCTGTAGAAGACAGGATAAGATTATACTGTTTCTGTAAGATAGAATTCTGTAGAAGACAGGATAAGATTATACTGTTTCTGTAAGATAGAATTCTGTAGAAGACAGGATAAGATTATACTGTTTCTGTAAGATAGAATTCTGTAGAAGACAGGATAAGATTATACTGTTTCTGTAAGATAGAATTCTGTAGAAGACAGGATAAGATTATACTGTTTCTGTAACATAGAATTCTGTAGAAGACAGGATAAGTTTTTACTGTTTCTGTAAGATAGAATTCTGTAGAAGACAGGATAATATTATACTGTTTCTATAAGATAGAATTCTGTAGAAGACAGGATAAGATTATACTGTTTCTGTAAGATAGAATTCTGTAGAAGACAGGATAAGATTATACTGTTTCTATAAGATAGAATTCTGTAGAAGACAGGATAAGATTATACTGTTTCTATAAGATAGAATTCTGTAGAAGACAGGATAAGTTTTTACTGTTTCTGTAAGATAGAATTCTGTAGAAGACAGGATAAGATTATACTGTTTCTGTAAGATAGAATTCTGTAGAAGACAGGATAAGATTATACTGCTTCTGTAAGATAGAATTCTGTAGAAGACAGGATAAGATTATACTGTTTCTGTAAGATAGAATTCTGTAGAAGACAGGATAAGATTATACTGTTTCTGTAAGATAGAATTCTGTAGAAGACAGGATAAGATTATACTGTTTCTGTAAGATAGAATTCTGTAGAAGACAGGATAAGATTATACTGTTTCTGTAAGATAGAATTCTGTAGAAGACAGGATAAGATTATACTGTTTCTGTAAAATAGAATTCTGTAGAAGACAGGATAAGTTTTTACTGTTTCTGTAAGATAGAATTCTGTAGAAGACAGGATAATATTATACTGTTTCTATAAGATAGAATTCTGTAGAAGACAGGATAAGATTATACTGTTTCTGTAAGATAGAATTCTGTAGAAGACAGGATAAGATTATACTGTTTCTATAAGATAGAATTCTGTAGAAGACAGGATAAGATTATACTGTTTCTGTAAGATAGAATTCTGTAGAAGACAGGATAAGATTATACTGTTTCTGTAAGATAGAATTCTGTAGAAGACAGGATAAGTTTTCACTGTTTCTGTAAGATAGAATTCTTTAGAAGACAGGATAAGATTATACTGTTTCTGTAAGATAGAATTCTGTAGATGACAGGATAAGATTATACTGTTTCTATAAGATAGAATTCTGTAGAAGACAGGATAAGATTATACTGTTTCTGTAAGATAGAATTCTGTAGAAGACAGGATAAGATTATACTGTTTCTGTAAGATAGAATTCTGTAGAAGACAGGATAATATTATACTGTTTCTGTAAGATAGAATTCTTTAGAAGACAGGATAAGATTATACTGTTTCTGTAAGATAGAATTCTGTAGAAGACAGGATAAAGACAGGATAAGATCATACTGTTTCTGTAAGATAGAATTCTGTAGAAGACAGGATAAGATTATACTGTTTCTGTAAGATAGAATTCTGTAGAAGACAGGATAAGATTATACTGTTTCTGTAAGATAGAATTCTGTAGAAGACAGGATAAGATTATACTGTTTCTGTAAAATAGAATTCTGTAGAAGACAGGATAAGATTATACTGTTTCTGTAAGATAGAATTCTGTAGACAATCAGATTTTTTTTATTGTTTCTATATTATAGAATGCATTGAAAATGGTACGGGAACAAAAGGATAAATACGGTACGGTGACATTATCAGAGGACACAGATAAACAAAGAATTCTTATAGAGTACAGGTAATGTTAACCTCAAGTGTGAGAGTTAATCTCCTTATTTTTTTTCATTTGCACAGGTGTTTCTTAATAGGTCACAACTTTTTGAATAAAGTTTTTAGCTCACCTTGCCCGAAAGCTCATGCTAGCTTATGCTGTGGCACTATGTCAATCTGTCGGTTTATCATTACCCTTTCATTTTGAATGACATCTCTTCATTAATCAACAAACCAAATGCCACGTATTTGGTTTGGTGGGTTGCTAAGATGTAGTCCGAAAAAGTTTGCAAATAGTAATGACTTTGACCCATATTCAAGGTCACATGGGTAAAATTTGTTAGAACCTAAAAATGACTTGGTCTGATTAACTAAGAGGCCCTGAAGCATGATATTTGGTTGACTGGCTCTTAAGATAAAGCTCAACAAAGTTTGTGAAAGGAATTGACCTTGACCCATATTCATGTCACAGGGGTCAACAATGCCACATGAGCAATGCAGGCCCAATTAGCCACTTGTTGATGCAACTGTAGGCCTAATGTGATGTCACTGTAGACCTATCACAATATTACTGTACAGCTAATAAAAAGTCATTGTAGGCCTAATACTACACAGTTGTACTAATATAATGTAAACATAGGCCTAATACAATGTGACCAAAGGCCTAATGCAATGCAACTGTAGACCTAAAATGTAACTGTAGGCCTAATACTACATAGCTGTAGTCCTAATACAATGTAACTTTAGGCCCTGTACAGTGTAATGGTAGGCTTGATACTACACAGCTGTAGTCCTAATACAATGTAGCTTTAGGCCCTGTACAGTGTAATGGTAGGCTTGATACTACACAGCTGTAGTGCTAATACAATGTAGCTTTAGGCCCTGTACAGTGTAATGGTAGGCTTGATACTACACAGCTGTAGTCCTAATACAATGTAGCTTTAGGCCCTGTACAGTGTAATGGTAGGCCTAATGCTACACAGCTGTAGTCCTAATACAATGTAACTTTAGGCCCTGTACAGTGTATTGGTAGGCCTAATGCTACACAGCTGTAGTCCTAATACAATGTAACTTTAGGCCCTGTACAGTGTAATGGTAGGCTTGATACTACACAGCTGTAGTCCTAATACAATGTAACTTTAGGCCCTGTACAGTGTAATGGTAGGCCTAATACTACACAGCTGTAGTGCTAATACAATGTAGCTTTGGGCCCTGTACAGTGTAATGCTAGGCATAATACTACACAGCTGTAGTCCTAATACAATGTAACTTTAGGCCCTGTACAGTGTAATGGTAGGCTTGATACTACACAGCTGTAGTCCTAATACAATGTAACTTTAGGCCCTGTACAGTGTAATGGTAGGCCTAATGCTACACAGCTGTAGTCCTAATACAATGTAGCTTTGGGCCCTGTACAGTGTAATGGTAGGCTTGATACTACACAGCTGTAGTCCTAATACAATGTAGCTTTGGGCCCTGTACAGTGTAATGCTAGGCATAATACTACACAGCTGTAGTGCTAATACATTGTAGCTTTAGGCCCTGTACAGTGTAATGGTAGGCTTAATGCTACACAGCTGTAAGCCTAACACAATGTAACCATAGGCCTAATTTAATGTAACTGTAGACATGATACAATGTAACTTTAGGCCTGACACAATGTAACTTTAGGCCTGATCCAATGTAACTATAGGCCTGATACAATGTAACTATAGGCCTATTATAGTGCAATTGTAAACATATTTTCTATATTAGTTACACAATTATACAATGTAACTGTAGGCAAGTTTCTCAGACAAGAGCTATAGCTTGAAGACTGCACTTTCAATAGAAAATCTCATATCAAGTCACTTTACAAACAAATAGAAATATTACAGTTTTCAAACTACATTATATCTGTATTATATTAAATCATGTTTTATGGGTACAACACCTCTTTTTCAGTTCACCAAACATAGCCAAACCATTTCATGCTGGACACTTTAGGTCAACAATACTAGGAAACATAATAGCTAACCTGTATGAGGCGTGTGGTCACACAGTATTCAGGGTTAACTACCTCGGAGACTGGGGCATTCAATATGGTGGGTGACTGGTACAACTGCTATTTTCACTCTTTTTTCACCTTAAAAACCTATCTTTATATATAATAGCGCAATTTAAAAATGGGTGAAAATTATCAGCTTTACATGAAAGCAAAAGGATATCTTGGCAAAAGTTTCTGCCATATACAGTAATACCTTCTTAAATAATGGTTGAAGATATTTCAAACCAATTTCTCATGGAAGATGAACTTAATAAAGGGTGGACACACATATATGTTATGGTCATTCAGTCAAAAGATCTATTCTGATTGGCTAATGTTTACCAAATTAATTTAAACCTGTTGAACTCAGATCCGAATACATATAATTATGTAATATAATTGGATGGTACATTGTGCTGTAACTTTTGTATACAGACAATGCAGACACATGCTGTGATTGTCTCCCTTTGTATCTGCTTTTCCTTGTAGGGTTATTGGGCTATATGATGCGGAAGAGTGGCAGAGAGGAAATTTTGGATCGCAAATCAGTTGTCTACATGCTTGAGGTAAGCTTTGGTACATATAACTATTTGTGAAGAAAATTATGGAATGTGATTTTTCAAATTATTCAATTTGATGATCACATGGAAAATAGTGATGGGACACATTTTATCTCACCTGGTCCGACAGGTCGGTAACTTATGCCATGGTGCTCCATCTTTCATCCATCCAGCACCTGTCAACTAAAAATAGCTACTTGTCATGAACGACTGTAAGGATTTTGACCAAATTTTGTTTGAAGCATTCTTTGGGAAGAGGAAGAAAGTTTGTATAAATCGTGTTTCCTTTGGCCCCGAGCAGCGGGGCTCAAAAGTTCTTTAAAATCCATCATTTTCTATAGGAATGATTGGATTTTATACAAATTTAGTTGGAAGAATCAACTGGCAAAGAGGAATCAATTTTGTATAAATGGTGAGTCTGGGGACCCTTGGCACCAGAGGGTGAAGACCAAAAGAAGAAATGGGCAAATCTTTAAAAAAATCTTTTCTCTGCAGAAACCTTGACATCTGTTCAAATTTAGTTGGAGGCATTTATTGGTAAAGAGGAATATTAATTAATCAGTTTTGTATAAATGGTAGGAAGGGCAGGGCCCAATACGGGAAATAGAACAATTCATTTAAATCCTTCATCTTCTATCGGAATCCTTGGATATTATCCAAATTTGGTCTGAAGCAGCCTTTGGTGAATTTTTATGTTTCAGGTTTTCATTAGCAACAGAAAAAGATCGTTTTACTTCAATTCTAGCATTAAAGTTTTGATGATGATACCTTGTTGTTTAAAAGCAATAAAGAAAATACTGTTATGTCAACAGAATCCCAATTCAAACTCAACACAACTGGGTCAAACTTTCAGATATGCACAGCTGTGTTGTCATATTGCAGAAAAAACAAAATAGAAGTGTGGGGAAAAAGCTAACATATGATGCTGGAGTAACACATGGAAATTGTTATATTTGTTTTGATTCTTTACAGCTTTATGTTCAGGCTAATGAAGAAAAGGAAGCAGAGCGTTCACTCCCAGATGACAAGAAAGTAGTTACAATGGAAAGTCAAAAAGTTTTCCAAAGACTTGAAGAAGGTATGATTAGTTTCATACCAAAGAAAGACCTGCTGTAAATAGTGGGAATAGTGAAAACTTTCTGAAGTGTGAAATTTTGGGAATATTCACCCTTGTAGTCCATAAATTTTGATGTATATTATTGAGACTATATTGGCTGTATATGTTGATTTGTTGCTGTGTGATAACTTCCGGAAATGTCACCTGATTGACACCAAAGACGGTCTGCAAATAATATGTTATGGACAGTAGGCAGTAGCTGATATCTGTCCATAATATCAACATTAGAAATACAACTGTCCCTACCCATATATTAACACAGGCTAGTGAGGATTTCGTGAAGCTTGGATGGTGAATTTGAGAAGTAGGATTTTTTCTATGACAAAAAAAATGCATATTTTTTTATAAAATTTACTTGATGGGGCCTACCTGATGGGTCAATTCCAGGTTTATGACATGTACAGTACTAAGTGGGACCTTCTTGATGGGTCAATCCCAGGGTTTATGACATGTACAGTACTAAGTGGGACTTTCATGATGGGTCAATCCCAGGGTTTATGACATGTACAGTACTAAGTGGGACCTTCTTGATGGGTCAATCCCAGGGTTTATGACATGTACAGTACTAAGTGGGACTTTCATGATGGGTCAATCCCAGGGTTTATGACATGTACAGTACTAAGTGGGACTTTCATGATGGGTCAATCCTAGGGTTTATGACATGTACAGTACTAAGTGGGACCGTCTTGATGGGTCAGTCCAATTGTTCCTGACATGTACAGTACTAAGTGGGACCTTCTTGATGGGTCAATCCTAGGGTTTATGACATGTACAGTACTAAGTGGGACTTTCATGATGGGTCAGTCCTAGGGTTTATGACATGTACAGTACTAAGTGGGACCGTCTTGATGGGTCAGTCCTCGGGTTTATGACATGTACAGTACTAAGTGGGACTTTCATGATGGGTCAGTCCTAGGGTTAACCCCTTAGTGGGGCACTTCCTAGGGTTTATTATGTCTACTGATTGAGACCTTTTTTTCGAAAGAGATGAGGGTCAGATTTCTGTGTACAACATGTACCTGACAGAGTTCTTTTTGATAAAAGAGTTGATGAAATTCCTGTGTTCTGTTACAGGTGATCCTGAAGAATTGAGGCTGTGGAGAAAATGTAGAGATTTAAGTGTACATCATTACCTAGAAACATACAGGGTGATTATACAAAACAATCATGATGGGATAATTGTTTGTTGTTGTCAGACTTTGTCTGATTTACATTCAGGCCTCAGGTTAAATAAGATACATTTTATGAAAAATATTTCATTAGAATAAAGAAAAAAAATGTAATAATGATGCACAAAACAATTTGATATCATTTTTGCCAGTGAAAACTAAAACCAAAACTAAACTAAAACCATCAATGCACAATGATGATACAATTTTCTAGTGATGACATAACTTTTATTGTTTTGACAAATCCTGTTAAAGCACAACTTAAAAGTGAAGATTAGAGAAGTTGGCTGTCAATCAAGTCTTACAAGATAATGTTTCAAGTTTTCTCAAATTTGGTAGTGAAAACAGTTTTGTAGTAGATTCCTACCAGACAACAGCATGAAGCATTGAAGAAACTGAAGGAAATTATGTTAAAAAATAATGCAATATGGCTGCCAAAAGTCAAACCCTTAAATATCAGGCTCACAACTTATCAATAAGCCCTCGTACCACATGAAGCTGCTAGTTCAATATGGTATTATCTTTTTGTCAAGTGTAACTTGCTAATTTTTCCCAAACATTTTTGAACATCTGGACCAATATTCATTAATCTCAGGGTCAAATGCATGTGGTGATACTTCTGATATCTGAATTAATTTTCTCATGAATATTGTATATTTTATGTTTGGATAAATTTTATCTATTTGTTTTCTTCTAAAATAAAAATAAAAGTAAATCATTTCCTATTAGATATTATATATAATTCACGAGCATGACAGAATATATCTATATAATTCACTGTTGATTCACACTTATCGAGATTTAGTATATTTTATGTTTGAATTCAATTTTTTTTCTATTTGTTTTTCCTCTAGAATTAAAATGAAAATAAATTATTTCCTAAAAGATATTATATAATTCACTAATATGACAGAATATATCTATATTTTTAACTGTTGATTCACACTTATGGAAACTCTAGATATTTCAGACATAATCAGTCTGTTATCCAGTGAATTCCCTGATGTAACATTTTTTGGTATATGTCACTAGCATTATATACTCTGGAGCATTTTTCATTGATTGCACCAGTCAGAATTTTATTGTGATGTTATAATATGGACAATGATGTTATGTCACGAATTGAAAATGGCACAACAAAATTGGAAGCCTTCATTTGATTTTGTCCTCCACATTTTTACTTAAAAACCTGTCAAAATATAACTTTTATGAGTTATGTGATAGAAGGTCTGTTATACAGCACTGGTGAAATATTTATGATATGAAACCAGAAGCTATTAAATATCCATTGTATCTGAGATAGATTTAAGAGAATCTTTAACCAGTTAAATGAAAATTATGTACCTTATTACTTACAGCAAAACCTGAAGGCAATTAAGTATTGTTTACATTGTTTACAGAAACTTGGGATAAAGTTCACAGCCATTGAAGGAGAATCCATGTATGTTACACTAACAAAAAACTTACTGGAGAACTTGAAACGCAAAGGAAAGCTCAAATTTAGAAGGTAAAATACACCATATATCACAAAATGTTTCTGATAACTGAACTTGATACTGTCATCTCATTTTATAGATCAAAACTACAAGCAATACCTGTGCATTCCAAAACCCTCTCTAATCTGACCATTTTTCAGAAAATGGTGTCAGACAAGACTGGTTTTACTGTGCCATCAGAAAAAATATGATATCAATCAAGTTACACTTTGTCTAATTGACCGATCTATTTTTACAGGTGTCTGATAAGACAGGTTTCATTGTATTATACTGTATTACTGTATACTGTATTACTGTATACTGTATTATCAGATTTCAACCATTACATTAGAAATTAAAACTATGAAACTTAGTGCAATATTTAACAAGTCTTAAACAAGACACTGAAAAAACCTGTTACATACTATTACACTTACTACATCTAGCAATTCTGTTACAGGCATATAATCTCAAAGGTTTTATATGTCTGTTGAACTATATATATAGTTTATAATTCAGCAATTTAGGCTGTGTTTATTGGTGTTAGTCTTTTAGTATTGTACAGAAGACACACAAGTGAAAACATATTCCATTACACATTTAAAATTAGGTACAGCAGAACCAAATAATGTAGTGAACGTCATACAGCTGATTTTTTCCTGTCAGTGATGCAAAGGTCATAAAGTGATGAATTAAGATAATAAGTATTGGCCAAAGTGAATGGTTAAATATAGATAGGGAGGCATACTTACCCTTTAATTAAAAAAATTAGATAATTTTCAATATGGCAGGATTTCAAAAGAATATTAGATACATGAGTATACTCTGAACCGTGCTGTTCACCAGATAATCCATCAGTAGTGTCTACCAACAGCAATCTCAAAGGATTGTACAAAAGACACTTGAAGAAATACTTCTTTTCATTGCAAATTTAGAATTAGAGAGAAGCTAAGTGCTGAATGCTTTTAGTCTCCAGCCTGTTAATCAGACATTCTACAACAGGGGTTAGTACATCAAACATTCTACAAAAAGGGGAGTGCATCAGACATTTTACATTTGATGTTTCAGTGACACTGGGGTCGGCTACATGGAGCTGACACCTGATGGACTGATAGATGAAGCAGTACTTGTCAGAAGTAATGGCACATCGTTATACTTGACCAGGTGTGTAATCTCTGTGTACTGTATACCTGACCAGGTGTGTAATCTCTGTGTACTGTATACCTGACCAGGTGTGTAATCTCTGTGTACTGTATACCTGACCAGGTGTGTAATCTCTGTGTACTGTATACCTGACCAGGTGTGTAATCTCTGTGTACTGTATACCTGACCAGGTGTGTAATCTCTGTGTACTTTATACTTGACCAGGTGTGTAATCTCTGTGTACTTTATACTTGACCAGGTGTGTAATCTCTGTGTACTGTATACCTGACCAGGTATGTAATCTCTGTGTACTGTATACCTGACCAGGTGTGTAATCTCTGTGTACTGTATACCTGACCAGGTGTGTAATCTCTGTGTACTGTGACCAGGTGTGTAATCTCTGTGTACTGTATACCTGACCAGGTGTGTAATCTCTGTACTGTGTACCTGACCAGGTGTGTAATCTCTGTGTACTGTGTACCTGACCAGGTGAAGTCCAAGTGGTTGGTAACAGTGCACAGCTACTGTTTATGAATATGTTGTACACTATTCATCTAGATAACATCCTAATTTTATTTTGTATCTAAAAGCAAAGAAAATGGTGACTTCTGCCAATATTTTGATATCATTTATTCCAAACGATTACTAGACTATTTTATAGTTTTAGATAAGACATTTGTGAGCCTTGTTTTAGATAAGACATTTATTGACACTATTTTAGATAAAAAAAAAATTGATGACACTGTTTCAGATAAAAGACTAAAATTACTTAACCTTAAGATGAGTTTTAATTTAATAAACATTTCTTTTTGTGAATTTCAGAGATGTTGCTGCAGCACTTGACAGGCACAGAAGATACCAATTTGATAGATGTCATTATGTTGTAAGTTTTGCCACAGGTACAGGATACAATGCCTATACAAGAGATAGGTAAAGGATACAATGCCTATATAAGGGGTAGGTAGAGGATACACTGCCTATATAAGAGATAGGTAAAGGATACAATGCCTATATAAAAGATAGGTAAAGGATACAATGCCTATATAAGAGATAGGTAAAGGATACAATGCCTATATAAGGGGTAGGTAGAGGATACAATGCCTATATAAGAGATAGGTAAAGGATACAATGCCTATATAAGAGATAGGTAAAGGATACAATGGCTATATAAGAGATAGGTAAAGGATACAATGGCTATATAAGAGATAGGTAAAGGATACAATGCCTATATAAGGGGTAGGTAGAAGATACACTGCCTATATAAGGGGTAGGTAGAGGATACACTGCCTATTTAAAAGGTAGGTAAAGGATACAATGCCTATATAAGAGGTAGGAACAATTATTACAATTACAATTATTGTTGGGTATTTTCCTACCATGATTCTATGCATAAGATCAATTCCTTATACCAATTAATGATTTTGAAGTTGATTCTTTCTTTAAGCTCCCCTGGTGCTTAATGTCACATCAGAGAACTTTGGCACATGGATGCCTGTCAAGCATCTCTCTCTAAGTAACACTAATGACTAAGAAAAATGTGTGAATTTTGACTAGATATGGTTGTTGTTAAACTGGGGGTTAAATGGAGGGTGTTACATGTCAGGGTACAGAGGGGTTGAGCTAAGTAAGGAGATTATATGTACCTCAGGTATCAGAAAAGCCTTTAAAAACTTTTTCATTATGTATGAAAATATTTTAACCCATCTTTATCCTAAGCATCTTTGTTCAGATGGGATTTGGCATCCCAGGGGTTAAAGAGGAGGGACAAAATTAGGAATTAGATGTAATTCTTGATGACCTTAAATGAAATTAAATGATGTTATCCTTTTTAGTACTGAAATATGTATAAATTAGAAATATCATGCATGAATTTCAATGAGTTTGTTTTTACTTCAATAGCATAACTGTTCAGGTAACTGATACAGGACCTCTAGGACTCTTGTTTTGGAGGCACAGATAGGAAATTTTTAACTGAAACCATTCTTGATGTCTTTATTACTTTGTCACAATCTTTAATTGCAGTTTTTGTACAATAATTTTTTTTGTAAGTTATTAATCAAAAACCAGGAAATGGGAGAATTTCTCCAAGAATCAACAACCCACATTTTATTTCAGTGAAGCAATTGCCTGTGTAATTTTTATCCTAAACTGGAAATATCTGAAAATGAAATTAATTATTTTAACTTAAATAATGTGTTTTATTATTGAACTGAGTTGATTGCAGTACTTGAGGTTTGAATCACTCTAACATAACCATTGATCTTCACTTTGGGAAAGACTGTCAAACAGCAAATCCCCATTTTTTCAGTTCTGACCATTTGGCAGGTACAGTGTTTGTTTTATGAGACTTAAAGATGTGAATTTTTTATATTCTGTGTTTAGGTAGAGCAAGGCCAGTATCTCCATTTTAAACAGCTGGGTAGGATACTGAGAGAACTGGGTGTAGAATGGGCCAAAAGGTGAGTCTACCATCTTATGTTAGTATTATCAGTAAATGTCATACAAGTTTAGTATGGGTGGGTAGTTAATTTGTGATGTTTTAAATTGTAGGTATGAAGACACCATACACATTGGGTTTGGAAGGATCGCAGGCATGAAGACCAGAACAGGCAATATTGTCCTTTTACACAAGCTTCTGAAAGATGTAAAGGATGTGATAATAGATAATATGGACAATTCTGAATGTAAGTGCCTTCAGCTCCATGTATTCTGGGATCAAGTGTATTTAGTTAATCATCTACATATACTGATAAACCTCCCTACTCCACAACACGACAAAAAAACATTGAATTAAAGTGTGTTTAGTTAATTACATATATGCTTATATACCTCCCTACTCCACAACACGATAAAAAAAACATTGAATTAAAGTGTATTTAGTTAATTATCTATATATACTGATAAACCTCCCTACTCCACAACACGATAAAAAAATACATTGAATTTAAGTGAATTTAGTAAATCATTTACATATATATATATGAATAATTTTCTGAGGAATTCTTTTGCTTCTTACAATAGATAAATATTTCCTTGCTCTGCAAACTGATTCATTTAATTCACTAGAGGTTGCATTTCAAATAAAAAGGCAAAAGAATGACATAAAAAAAGAAAATAGAAAAACAAAACAAACCCCCCCAAACTCCTCCCCCCGCCACAAAAAAAGAAAATATAAGATAAAATAACAATAAAAGTCTTACCTTTGTCTCTCTGGGATATTTTTTAATTACAAAATCTTGCATTTGATACTGCCAATGTTAGTTTTTCCAACCTGGCATTTTCTTTTATAACATACTTTATTTTGGTAGCTCTGAATTTTATCACACACCTCTACTTGCAGTAACAAAAGTGGTCGGAGATGAGAAAGATAAAGCTGCAGATATTATAGCACTGACAACCCTTGTGTTTTGGGATCTAACAAAACCAAAGAAAAGAGACTACATTTTTAACTGGGATGAATTAATTAAGAATGGTACCATGCATGGCAGTCTAATGCATTACTGTCATTCACGACTGTGCAGGTGAGAGAAAATAAGGGATAAATGTAGCTTAGATTAGATTTAAAGGAATGATGGTAACTGTGAAAGGGGAGATAATATAGTAAAATGAATATTTACAAAAACATGGAGAGAGACAGGAGAAACCAACACTAGAGTATAGCTTTGGTTTTTCTTACATACATTGTCAGACTGTGTTGTTGGATGTGGAATCTAAAAGTCTGGAAAACTCTGAATGGACATTTATGTGAATAGATTTCCGTAACAATATTTATAATCACCTGTTGGAAATGAAATAGACTGAAATAGTCCTGATAATTTTTCTCATAATGTTAAGAGTGTTTTTGTTGTTTTCTGAAAATCCATCACAAACACTGTGTTGTCATAGTGACTATTGACTAATGCATAAAATTTCGTTGAAGTGGTTATACCTTGTTGTAGTTTATTTGAAATAGCGTTCTTCCTGTCGAGTTTTTAAAATGAGAAATTATCATTGTTTTCAATTGATGGATATTGGTACAAAATTTGTCCGATTTTGATATTTTTTTTAGTTCTTTACATTGTAATTGATATGGTATGTGTTCCACATCACATTGGACTGTAAATAATGAATCATCCCTGATATTTGGCTGTAACTGTCACTTCAGGAATAATGTATCATCCCAGATATTGGGCTGTAACTGTCACGTCAGGTATAATGAATCATCCCAGATATTGGACTGTAACTGTCACTCCAGGAATAATGAATCATCCCTGATATTTGGCTGTAACTGTCACTCCAGGAATAATGAATCATCCCTGATATTGGGCTGTAACTGTCACTCCAGGAATAATGAATCATCCCTGATATTTGGCTGTAACTGTCACTCCAGGAATAATGAATCATCCCTGATATTTGGCTGTAACTGTCACTCCAGGAATAATGAATTATCCCTGATATTAGGCTGTAACTGTCACTCCAGGAATAATGAATTATCCCTGATATTGGTCTGTAACTGTCACTCCAGGAATAATGAATTATCCCTGATATTTGGCTGTAACTGTCACTCCAGGAATAATGAATTATCCATGATATTAGGCTGTAACTGTCACTCCAGGAATAATGAATCATCCCTGATATTTGGCTGTAACTGTCACTTCAGGAATAATGAATCATCCGTGATATTGGGCTGTAACTGTCACTCCAGGAATAATGAATTATCCCTGATATTGGTCTGTAACTGTCACTCCAGGAATAATGAATCATCCCTGATATTTGGCTGTAACTGTCACTCCAGGAATAATGAATCATCCCTGATATTTGGCTGTAACTGTCACTCCAGGAATAATGAATTATCCCTGATATTAGGCTGTAACTGTCACTCCAGGAATAATGAATTATCCCTGATATTTGGCTGTAACTGTCACTCCAGGAATAATGAATTATCCCTGATATTAGGCTGTAACTGTCACTCCAGGAATAATGAATCATCCCTGATATTGGTCTGTAACTGTCACTCCAGGAATAATGAATTACCCGTGATATTTGGCTGTAACTGTCACTCCAGGAATAATGAATCATCCCTGATATTTGGCTGTATCTGTCACTCCAGGAATAATGAATCATCGGTGATATTGGGCTGTAACTGTCACTCCAGGAATAATGAATTATCCCTGATATTGGTCTGTAACTGTCACTCCAGGAATAATGAATCATCCCTGATATTTGGCTGTAACTGTCACTCCAGGAATAATGAATCATCGGTGATATTGGGCTGTAACTGTCACTCCAGGAATAATGAATCATCCCTGATATTTGGCTGTAACTGTCACTCCAGGAATAATGAATCATCCCTGATATTTGGCTGTAACTGTCACTCCAGGAATAATGAATCATCCCTGATATTTGGCTGTAACTGTCACTCCAGGAATAATGAATCATCCCTGATATTTGGCTGTAACTGTCACTTCAGGAATAATGAATCATCCCTGATATTTGGCTGTAACTGTCATGTCAGGTATAATGAATTATCCCTGATATTGGGTTGTAGATGTCAGGTATAATGAACCATCCCTGATATTTGGCTGTAACTGTCACGTCAGGTATAATGAATTATCCCTGATATTGGGTTGTAGATGTCAGGTATAATGAACCATCCCTGATATTGGTCTGTAACTGTCACTCCAGGAATAATGAATCATCCCTGATATTTGGCTGTAACTGTCACTTCAGGAATAATGAATCATCCCTGATATTGGGCTGTAACTGTCACGTAAGGTATAATGAATTATCCCTGATATTTGGCTGTAACTGTCACTCCAGGAATAATGAATCATCCCTGATATTTGGCTGTAACTGTCACTCCAGGAATAATGAATCATCCCTGATATTTGGCTGTAACTGTCACTCCAGGAATAATGAATCATCCCTGATATTTGGCTGTAACTGTCACTTCAGGAATAATGAATCATCCCTGATATTTGGCTGTAACTGTCACGTCAGGTATAATGAATTATCCCTGATATTGGGTTGTAGATGTCAGGTATAATGAACCATCCCTGATATTTGGCTGTAACTGTCACGTCAGGTATAATGAATTATCCCTGATATTGGGTTGTAGATGTCAGGTATAATGAACCATCCCTGATATTGGTCTGTAACTGTCACTCCAGGAATAATGAATCATCCCTGATATTTGGCTGTAACTGTCACTTCAGGAATAATGAATCATCCCTGATATTGGGCTGTAACTGTCACGTAAGGTATAATTAAGTAAAAGTGTTTAGGTTATTGCTGGTTCACTGAACTTGCCTCAGCTGTCAGTACACCTTTATATCTCACCAGGCCAAAATTGCCAAGTGATATAATGTCATGGTGCAAAGTCCCTCCTCTATCTTGCATCAACTTCTTAATAATGAAAATGCCTAGAACCAGGATATTTGGATGAAGCCAGACAAATTTTTGCAAAATGACTTATGCTATACTCAAGGTCACAGGGGTGAAGTTTGTTCAAACATTCCAACAAGTTCTGATGAAAGGCATAGAATCTTGATATATGGGTGGTAGATTTTCTGTGTTAAATCCAGACAAAGAGTTGTAAAAAGAAGTAAATTTGACCCATATTCATGTCACAGTAGTAAGATTTGTTTAAATGTGCAGTCACCATCTTCTCAATAACCAAAAGGCCTAGTGTCATGATATTTTGGCTGGTAGGTTCTTGGGATGAATGTCAATGATATGAAACGATTATTTGTTTGTGAAAGCATTAGATACTACATTAGCAATGCAGGCTCATTGGGCCCCATAGAAACTGATTGTACTGGTTCACATATCCTTGGTACTTGTTCACACATACTGGGTACTGGTTCACACATCCTTGGTACAGATTCACACATCCTTGCTGCTGGTTCATACATTCTTGGTACTGTATTGTTGAAATATTACCCAGGTGATCACCTATTCCTCACAATACAAAGAGTGAATCTGTTCTTATGTCAACTTTTCTTATTTCAGTCTTTTGTCTTCGTTTTACACACCTGATATGGATGATGGTGACGTTGACCTGAGTTTGTTGACTGAGAGAGAAGCTCTTGCTCTTCTCAGTTCATTGATAGAGTAAGTAAACCAACCACTTCTAAAAAATTTTGTATTTATCATATGAAAGTATTTTTCCTTTTCAAATAGTTCGGTTTTGTACATCATGTTTTATATGTTATTAATAATGACAGGAAAACTGTTTTCTGAAAAAAGTCATGTTCAAATTTTGAAAAAAAATATAAATTATTAAGGAATTTTAACTAAACGGCAATATGTAAGTCACCCCACATTCTCTAACAATGTAACAAAAATACATAAAAAGGTACCTTCCTGGTTTGTTCCACAAAGAAATATTTCAGTGTTTATTAGGAGGTAATGGGAGTAATAAAGTTATTTTTATTAATGTGTCAATAAGGTTTTATTTCTAAACTATGGGTCAGAAAAAAATGACATGCCTTGATTATTTTTACAGATATGAACATGTCGTAGAGACTGCTGTGATAACAGAAGATCCATTTATCATAGCCTCTTTCCTTAATGGTTTTAGGTAAAGTATTCTCTCAAAATTTCTTTTTTCATTTGCCCAAAACTTGATTGGAATGTTAAGGCACTCAAGCTGAATTTTATTTTTTATTATAATATTTCAAATTTGAACACACCTGTTTATGGCAGCCATTTTGGGAATGTTGATTTTTGTAAACAAACATCATTAATAGTTGATCATTTGTTGATATTTATCTTGTCAGTCCAAGATTCAAGATGACTGACATCTTGAAATATGTTTAGCTATTTTCAAAATCCAACTGTGAGATTTTAAACAAAACTAAGTGTGGAATCTTTGTGAATCTAGAGACCAATTACTGGTGTAGGGATGTCTATGAAGGTGTCTTTATGTCAGGACTTTATACGATAATCAATATGGTAGCTGTGATGGCAGTTTGATGATATGTATACATAATCAGTATTCCTTGTAAATAAAATACATTTCATATTTCTTGTCAGATATTACCAGGAATGATCCCGAGATAATATTTTTAGGGTCCTCTTAAAACTTGAAAAACGTAAATCAGACATTCTAAGTTCTACTGATGGGGTTCAGTGTTTCTATCAAGAATGGTTTATATATGATCCCAACAAAAGATGTTTATTTCTTTTGCATGTCCACAATTTCGAACGGTTGCCCTCTTGAAAAACACATTTTCAACTTTTCTGGTTCTATATGTGATATAAAGCTGAAACTGGAGACTTAAGATCTCTCCATCTCATCTTTAAGTGATTGAATGTTGATGTTAGGATGTCAATTCATCTTTTAGTGACATGAGCACATGTAGAAGTGATATCACACAGTTGTTATGACAAGGCGATCCCTTTGATGTAACTCTTTGTTAAAACTAATAAACAGGTTGTCTAATTTCTGACTTGTGACATTTGATACAGTTCTAATTATCCATGAGTACATCCAAACAGGTGTGTTTATAACGTAATGTATGTTTATACAAATATTTCACAGCTTGGACATGAACTGACATTTATTTTACAGAAATCAGATCAATTCAGCACTGGCAAAACTGCAGGTGAAAGACCAAGATCCTGATGTTGCCAAGGTAATTTTTATATGTGTGCATGTAGATAATTCCTCTTCAGTGGATTATTAACAGATGATGAATATGTGTCCTGTAATAAGCCCACCCACTGACTTTGATTCAGAGGTTATATGGTGGGGCCCTCCTGTAAGAAGCTGAATCTCAACCTTTGAGTTAGAGGTTATATGTTTGGCCCTTCTTGTAAGAAGCTGAATCTCAAACCTGGAGTTGGAGGTTATATGTTGGCCCCTCCTGTAAGAAGCTGAATCTCAACCTTTGTTGGGCCCCACCTGTAAGAAGCTGAATCTCAAACCTGGAGTTAGAGGTTATATGTTGGGGCCCCTCCTGTAAGAAGCTGAATCTCAACCTTTGTTGGGCCCCTCCTGTAAGAAGCTGAATCTCAAACCTGGAGTTAGAGGTTATATGTTGGGGCCCCTCCTGTAAGAAGCTAAATCTCAAACCTGGAGTTGGAGGTTATATGTTGGGCCCCTCCTGTAAGAAGCTGAATCTCAACCTTTAAGTTAGAGGTTATATGTTGGGCCCCGCCTCTAAGAAGCTGAATCTCAACCTTTGAGTTAGAGGTTATATGTTGTGCCCCTCCTCTAAGAAGCTGAATCTCAACCTTTGAGTTAGAGGTTATATGTTGTGCCCCTCCTCTAAGAAGCTGAATCTTTGAGTTAGAGGTTATATGTTGGGCCCCGCAACCTTTGAGTTAGAGGTTATATGTTGTGCCCCTCCTCTAAGAAGCTGAATCTCAACCTTTGAGTTAGAGGTTATATGTTGTGCCCCTCCTCTAAGAAGCTGAATCTCAACCTTTGAGTTAGAGGTTATATGTTGGGCCCCTCCTGTAAGAAGCTGAATCTCAAACTTTGAGTTAGAGGTTATATGTTGGGGCCCCTCCTGTAAGAAGCTGAATCTCAACCTTTGTTGGGCCCCTCCTGTAAGAAGCTGAACCTCAAACCTTGAGTTAGAGGTTATATGTTGGGGCCCCTCCTGTAAGAAGCTGAACCTCAAACCTTGAGTTAGAGGTTATATGTTGGGGCCCCTCCTGTAAGAAGCTGAATCTCAACCTTTGTTGGGCCCCTCCTGTAAGAAGCTGAACCTCAAACCTTGAGTTAGAGGTTATATGTTGGGCCCCTCCTGTAAGAAGCTGAATCTCAACCTTTAAGTTAGAGGTTATATGTTGGGCCCCGCCTGTAAGAAGCTGAATCTCAACCTTTGAGTTAGAGGTTATATGTTGTGCCCCTCCTCTAAGAAGCTGAATCTCAACCTTTGAGTTAGAGGTTATATGTTGGTTCCTCCTGGAATAAGCCCACTCCCTGACTTTGAGTTTGAGGTTACATGTAGCTTTCTGGCCTTATTACTAGATAGTTACAGCTACATGTCCTTGTAAAAAAACTAAATCTCATGGAAATCCTTGTTTTGATTTAGCTGTGTCCATTGACTCCTTATATACTATAAGGATTGCTTTTTGAAATGGAATCGAACTCAGTACACTAAGGTGAATAGCAAGTGCAAGTGCACCACCCAATCACCCTCATTTGTGTTTCATCCACTGAAAGATTACATTTTACTTGTAATAAAGAATTTCTGTTATTTTGATTTCAGGCAAGACTTCAACTATTCAAGTGCTGTAGAACTGTGTTTGCAAATGGACTGAATTTACTTGGAATTACACCTCTGGAGAAAATGTGATATGAAAATACAGCATGGATTTTTAATTTATGTTGACAGGTGGAGAACCTTTTTCAATATGTGTGTGTGTATGAGTACGAGTGTGAGTGAAGGAAAAGTATGAAATACATAAGTAAAAGATAAACCAAAGGTCACTATTTTTCTTGTTTTTTACTTTAGTGCCTGGGTAGTGCCTTTTTACGTCAGATATGACAGAATAGGTGACCTTATCATAACAATTAAAAAGTATAAAGCATAATTTAATGATCAGAATAATTGTTTTCTTAAGAACTTCATAAATGTGTATGTTTTACCCATAGTTAACAACTTTGGTAGACGTGAAGAGTCCTACATTCAAAAAACACATTTGGAACCTGATGACTACCTGTTAAATACTGTATTGGGGAAACATTTGCCCTGGGTTTCTTTCACCCTTGCATGAAACTCTCTGTTTTAGACCATCGTTATATTAGTGTTAAAGTGAAATGATGTACTTTTCTTGACAAGCTTTAGCACACTTTTTAATTTTTGCCCTGGTGGCAAAAAATGGAAAGTCAAACCATCAAGAAAGTTTCCATGTACACAGTTTCATAGAGGTTCTTTCTATAGGCTTCAGCCCCTGTTCCGTCTGTTAGACTGTTCCATGTGTTAATGGTTCTTTTGAAAGTTTTCAGTGAAGTCACACAACAGTAATTTTTAGTTAATGATTAGTAAAATCCTCTCTCACCAAGAGTACTCCTGGATTACTGGTGGACAATTGAACACCCTTGTTGTGCCAGGTAGTATTTCATCTAGACCCACTGAATGTACGGGCCACTATGGCATCCCATGATAAGTAGAACAAAGGTAGACATACATCATGTAGGTGAAATGGCTGGGAAGTTATACTTCAGTTAAAATTTTGAAAATTTGATGAAGGGGCATAACTCTTATAAAGTAGAAAATGAAATATTCCAAACGAGGTTAAAGGGTTGGAAAATATTTTAAACATTTGAATTGTTCTTTGTGTATTCTTCAGGCTACATACATGTATCTTGTATTTCTGTTAGTATTCTCATAAAATATTTCATACATAAGGAAGCCTTTCTAAATTCTGACAGCACTCTCTTTTATCTATGGTGTAAATTACCAAATGTTACTTCCTAAAACATTACATGAAATTTAACAAAACAATGATGGTGAATTAAGGAACACCATTGACTTGGAATGGATAAAGACCTGACTTTGAATAGAGCCAAAGCATTTTCTTACTTTGAAGACAAACCATTGTCTTAGAATTAAGGCAAACCCTTGTCTAAGAATTGAGGTGGACCCTTGTCTACGAATGGAGGCAAACCCTTGTCTACGAATGGAGGCAAACCCTTGTCTATGAATGGAGAAAAACCCTTGTCTGTGAGTTTAGGCAAATCTTGGGGTCATTTAGACCTTGTCTAATAATTGAGGTAATCCCATGTTTGTGAATTGAGGTAATCCTTTGTCTGTGAATTGAGGTGGACCCTTGTCTAAGAATTAAGGCAAACCCTTGTCTAAGAATTGAGGTGGACCCTTGTCTAAGAATTAAGGCAAACCCTTGTCTATGAATTATGGTTTACCATTTTCCAAGAATTTGGGCAAACCATTTTCCATCAATTGAAACAGATTGTACAGGAAATGCCTAAGGACTAAGGTAAACCCTTGTCTCAGAATGGGGGTAGACCCTATGAATTTAGATAAACCTTTGGCTATTAATTGAGGCAAACTGTTTTGTTTGAATTAGGCTATATCTAAGATAATGATTGAGTGACAAACCATTGTCTATGAATTCAGTTGGACCCTTGTCTTTGATTTGAGATAAAGCCTTGTTTATTGAGGTAAACCTTTTGCTTTGAATTAAGGTGAACAGTTTGCTTTGAATTAAGGTGAACAGTTTGCTTTGAATTAAGGTGAACAGTTTGCTTTGAATTAAGGTGAACAGTTTGCTTTGAATTAAGGTGAACAGTTTGCTTTGAATTAAGGTGAACAGTTTGCTTTGAATTAAGGTGAACAGTTTGCTTTGAATTAAGGTGAACAGTTTGCTTTGAATTAAGGTGAACAGTTTGCTTTGAATTAAGGTGAACAGTTTGCTTTGAATTAAGGTGAACAGTTTGCTTTGAATTAAGGTGAACAGCTTTGAATTAAGGTGAACAGTTTGCTTTGAATTAAGGTGAACAGTTTGCTTTGAATTAAGGTGAACAGTTTGCTTTGAATTAAGGTGAACAGCTTTGAATTAAGGTGAACAGCTTTGAATTAAGGTGAACAGCTTTGAATTAAGGTGAACAGTTTGCTTTGAATTAAGGTGAACAGTTTGCTTTGAATTAAGGTGAACAGTTTGCTTTGAATTAAGGTGAACAGCTTTGAATTAAGGAGAACAGCTTTGAATTAAGGTGAACAGTTTGCTTTGAATTAAGGTGAACAGCTTTGAATTAAGGTGAACAGTTTGCTTTGAATTAAGGTGAACAGCTTTGAATTAAGGAGAACAGCTTTGAATTAAGGTGAACAGTTTGCTTTGAATTAAGGTGAACAGCTTTGAATTAAGGTGAACAGTTTGCTTTGAATTAAGGTGAACAGCTTTGAATTAAGGTGAACAGTTTGCTTTGAATTAAGGTGAACAGCTTTGAATTAAGGAGAACAGCTTTGAATTAAGGTGAACAGTTTGCTTTGAATTAAGGTGAACAGCTTTGAATTAAGGTGAACAGCTTTGAATTAAGGTGAACAGTTTGCTTTGAATTAAGGTGAACAGCTTTGAATTAAGGAGAACAGCTTTGAATTAAGGTGAACAGTTTGCTTTGAATTAAGGTGAACAGTTTGATTTGAATTAAGGTGAACAGTTTGCTTTGAATTAAGGTGAACAGCTTTGAATTAAGGTGAACAGTTTGATTTGAATTAAGGTGAACAGTTTGCTTTGAATTAAGGTGAACAGCTTTGAATTAAGGTGAACAGTTTGATTTGAATTAAGGTGAACAGTTTGCTTTGAATTAAGGTGAACAGCTTTGAATTAAGGAGAACAGCTTTGAATTAAGGTGAACAGTTTGCTTTGAATTAAGGTGAACAGCTTTGAATTAAGGAGAACAGCTTTGAATTAAGGTGAACAGTTTGCTTTGAATTAAGGTGAACAGCTTTGAATTAAGGAGAACAGCTTTGAATTAAGGTGAACAGTTTGCTTTGAATTAAGGTGAACAGCTTTGAATTAAGGAGAACAGCTTTGAATTAAGGTGAACAGTTTGATTTGAATTAAGGTGAACAGTTTGCTTTGAATTAAGGTGAACAGCTTTGAATTAAGGAGAACAGCTTTGAATTAAGGTGAACAGTTTGCTTTGAATTAAGGTGAACAGTTTGATTTGAATTAAGGTGAACAGTTTGCTTTGAATTAAGGTGAACAGTTTGATTTGAATTAAGGTGAACAGTTTGCTTTGAATTAAGGTGAACAGTTTGCTTTGAATTAAGGTGAACAGCTTTGAATTAAGGTGAACAGCTTTGAATTAAGGTGAACAGCTTTGAATTAAGGTGAACAGTTTGCTTTGAATTAAGGTGAACAGCTTTGAATTAAGGTGAACAGCTTTGAATTAAGGTGAACAGTTTGCTTTGAATTAAGGTGAACAGCTTTGAATTAAGGTGAACAGCTTTGAATTAAGGTGAACAGCTTTGAATTAAGGTGAACAGCTTTGAATTAAGGTGAACAGTTTGCTTTGAATTAAGGTGAACAGCTTTGAATTAAGGTGAACAGCTTTGAATTAAGGTGAACAGTTTTGAATTAAGGTGAACAGTTTGCTTTGAATTAAGGTGAACAGCTTTGAATTAAGGTGAACAGCTTTGAATTAAGGTGAACAGTTTTGAATTAAGGTGAACAGCTTTGAATTAAGGTGAACAGCTTTGAATTAAGGTGAACAGTTTGCTTTGAATTAAGGTGAACAGCTTTGAATTAAGGTGAACAGTTTGCTTTGAATTAAGGTGAACAGCTTTGAATTAAGGTGAACAGCTTTGAATTAAGGTGAACAGTTTTGAATTAAGGTGAACAGCTTTGAATTAAGGTGAACAGTTTTGAATTAAGGTGAACAGTTTGCTTTGAATTAAGGTGAACAGCTTTGAATTAAGGTGAACAGCTTTGAATTAAGGTGAACAGTTTTGAATTAAGGTGAACAGCTTTGAATTAAGGTGAACAGCTTTGAATTAAGGTGAACAGTTTGCTTTGAATTAAGGTGAACAGCTTTGAATTAAGGTGAACAGCTTTGAATTAAGGTGAACAGTTTGCTTTGAATTAAGGTGAACAGCTTTGAATTAAGGTGAACAGCTTTGAATTAAGGTGAACAGTTTGCTTTGAATTAAGGTGAACAGCTTTGAATTAAGGTGAACAGCTTTGAATTAAGGTGAACAGTTTGCTTTGAATTAAGGTGAACAGCTTTGAATTAAGGTGAACAGCTTTGAATTAAGGTGAACAGCTTTGAATTAAGGTGAACAGTTTGCTTTGAATTAAGGTGAACAGCTTTGAATTAAGGTGAACAGCTTTGAATTAAGGTGAACAGTTTGCTTTGAATTAAGGTGAACAGCTTTGAATTAAGGAGAACAGCTTTGAATTAAGGTGAACAGTTTGCTTTGAATTAAGGTGAACAGTTTGATTTGAATTAAGGTGAACAGTTTGCTTTGAATTAAGGTGAACAGTTTGATTTGAATTAAGGTGAACAGTTTGCTTTGAATTAAGGTGAACAGTTTGATTTGAATTAAGGTGAGCAGCTTTGAATTAAGGTGAACAGCTTTGAATTAAGGTGAACAGTTTTGAATTAAGGCGTACTCATTTCTATTGATTAAGGACTTCTATTAGGTAACCCCTTTGGAAACATTGTCTGTGAATAAAAGCAAACTACTGATATGAATTGGGTTGAACCATTGCCTATGAAACCACACAAATCGTTGACTTTGATTTAAGGTGAACCATTAAGTTGTCTATGAATGGTGGCGGACTATTTAAGGTGAAATGAGAAAAACCGTTGTTCATGAATAGCTAAACCGTTGCATATGGAATGAGGCAAACCATTGTCTAAGATTGGAGCGAGACTACGACAATGGATAACCGAACCATTGCGTGTGGAATGAGGCAGACAACAGACTTTGAATCG